TTATATAAATTAGGTAATGAATAAGCACAGATTTTTACTCAAAACAAATCAAATCTGTTCATTAGTACAGAGAATCTATGTAATTAGTTTCATCAAAATCTAATCAGTGGTTCTTTAGTTATCTGTGGAACAGTTATGGAACAGCTGAAAATCAATTATCATGCAAATTAGGTGATTAATATGCATGGTTTTAACCACAACCTAATAAATTTTGTTACTTTAGTCAAGTACAATCAACATTCTACAAGATCATGTTTAAATCATTTGCATATTTAAAAGTACACAAAATGACATGTTTGATAAAGCTTTAAAGTCTGTTGTTAATGTGCAAGTCATGTATCAGAATTCAATCCACTCACAAGAAATCCATCAACATACAAGACGTGATAAAAGTACTCAAGGAAATGCTAAACCCATGTCATGAAGATGTGTAAAGGTTTCCAGAGAACTTGAACTTTCTACTCTTCCCACATAAATGTCATTTTTAATTAAAACATCTTCTGTCAGTTACTGTACCTATTTCTACAACAATGTATATATTATCTAAAATTTTAGATATAAAAGGCACTTTGTATTAGCTTATACAATGAAGATTCCCACAAACAAGGGTGAAACCAAACTGACATAACATCACTCAGTTTTTAATGTGTTTCATGTGTTTTTTGCCTAATTCATGCAAATGAGGTAATTGACATGCAAGGTTTTAATCCTAAACAAATCATGTCAGTGGATTACCTACAAGCACCTACATGTATGTAGTTTCGTTGAAAAATTATTTCAATTCAAAACTAATCATGTCAAGCATTGTCACTGGACATCTTTGTACACGTACTAAAGTTTATTGATATGCAATTACTGTAAAATACTTTATTTTCGCTTGGAATTTATTTTCGCTATTTTCGCTGAAGGGATGATTCCTTGAAAATAAAATCCAGCGAATATACTTTTTTTCCTATATTTCACATTAAACTCATCAAAAATCAGTGAAAATAAATTCCAAGAAAAACGCCCAAAAAGCCTTTTCAGCGAAAATTAATTCCAGCGAAAATAAAGTATTCCACAGTACATGTAGTTCTTGGAGGAAAAGCTGGAAATTGACTAGTTACTATGCAAATTAGGTAATTCATAATGCACAGACACACAAAGGTCTTCATTCATATACTTTATACTAAAGTAAACAAAGTTTTCGTCAACTCTGGATGTGTACACTATTGATGTCTTACTTCTATCGCTCAGAAACATAAAGAAATCATTATTTAAAGTCAAATTCATGCACTATTCATAGGGCAAGAATAATCCCCTAGACTATGAAACCATAAAAATCTGATTTCCTAAAACATCAAGAACAAGCATTGATAATGCATAGACCCCGTTAAGTATCAGCTGTAATCGATTTAAATGTTCAGTACAAGTGACATGTAGAAATGAAATATCAATGTTTTTTTAACACAGATTATAGATTGTGTTACTGTCAGTATAGTACTTAGATGGAAACTTTGAACTGAATTGGACTATATCTTACCGAGGAAATAGCATGAAAGAAAAACGCAGCCAGTCGGGTATTGTTGTTCAAGTATCTCCAAAAGGAATATGGCTTGCACCATAACCTAATATGTAAGGTCATCATACAAAATTTAATTGAAAATGCCCTATTCAACTTTGAACTGAATCAGGCCATATCGCCCTGTTCAGCTCCAAGAAACAGTTCCGGACATGTTACAGAATGTGATTTTACATTTTTTTAACCAAATGACCACTATTTTGACAAATTTGATCAAATCTCAAGACAAAACAAGTTGTTGTGTTACCTTGCAGTATACTACCTATGTACAAACTTTGAACTGAATCAGGCCATATCTTACAGAGGAATCGCACAAAAACGAATCTCAAAAAAAAGAGCGACGTACACTTATAACCCAATATGCATGATCACCATACAAAGTTTGATTAAAATCACGCTGTTCAGCTCCGAGAAACAGTTCCGGACACATTACAGACTGTGATTTCAAGATATTAAACAAAATGGCAGCCATTTCAACAAATTTGATCTAATTTCAAAACAAATCATGGTGTTGTGTTATCTTGAAGTATAGTACCTATGTACAAACTTTGAACTTAATCAGGCCATATCTTATAAATGAATCAGCTTGAAAACGAAAAAAAAACAAAATGGCTGCCAGTCGGCCATCTTGGATAAAATCTCTCAGCTCCGAGAAACAGTTCCGGACACATTTAAATATCAGAATTTAGCAAATTTGAGGGAAAAAATGGCTGCCAGTCAGCCATATTTAGGGGAGAGTAGGAAATCAAACGGGCGGTTCACCAGGGAGAGCCGCGGACTGCTTATAATTAGGGGTCTCTACCGCGGTACCGGTAAGTACCGGTTGCAACCACGGTCGTAGGAAAGGTGTGAAATACGTACTTAACAGTTTCCTTTGTGATTCCACGAGTCTTTGTTTCAAATAGCTGTTTTTAAATAGAGTAGGTTACGAGCATCGCTGGCATGGAAATACTAAGCATGTGGTAATATTATCGGCCCACGTATTTTATTAATATAAAAATCCATAAGTCCAATGCTGTATACGAATTGTTGTTGCGTGAAACAATGGTATATGTTGTAATATATGCATGTATTTATCACCAATTCCAAGAGTAAAAGTCGTAACTTTCGAAGGTACGAGAATTATGACTCGTCCATACATTTACGTTTGTTACACTTGAATACAGTCTACCACTTGGAAAAGAATGTTATTCACGAAGTTTTAAATAGCCGAGCCTTCCTGATTCGAGTCTCTTGTTGATTTGACAACGGTGGGTATTCATAATGTTTATTCTTTGCCTGTATCGCATTCCAGACAAAAAGTTCAAGATCGGTAAACAAGAAATGGACAAACTAAAATGTCTCCTGTGTTTCACATGCGACATGATTATTTAAAAAAAAAACAGAGTTAAGCGGTCATGTACGTTCTATAAATCTAACCTTGCACACATAATCTTGTATTGACGTGTTTTTTTTTTTTGTCAAAAACGACGTTGCCTTTCAGTTAACTTTTTGCGTTCATGGTATTTGTGAGAGTTTACAGATTTTTTAAACAAATGTTAAGTAACGATATCGTTTTGCGTCAAACTGGGTGGCCCGAATTTAAATGTCAGTGCGTGAACTCATTTAGGTCATTGCCCATTGCCACACGTAATTCAAACACGTGGTTATTAGAGTTCAGTCGAAATGTACGTGAATAATGCGATCGAAGTGCGCTGCGAGTTTATTACAGAAAAAATTAACATTACGCATGATATTGTATGTTATTGTATGGTTAATATTACATGTTCACTTTATTTTGAATAAAAGTATGTAAAATATTTTCTTGACTTTCGTTAGACACCTGACTCCGGGACCTGACTATCTTTTTCAATAATTTAAATGCGCCCATGTTTATATTTACGTAATAATTAGGTAATATAGTAATATGGAAATATTCACAGACCCAATAGCCCAACAATAATAAAAATAACTTAGTTTGTGTAATTATTATAAAAGCAATACATTGCAAAGTTGAAATATTTAGAGCCTGTGCAATACTGTAAACATATTTGCGTTATTAGAAAAGCAGCACATTAAGTAAACGATGTTGAAATATTCAAAGCCAATACAGAGTTGGATACAAGTTGTGTTATTACAGTACCACCGGATATAATAACAATTTTACTAAATCGACGCGCGGACCAAGAAAGAAAAAGGGTTGCTTAGGTTACGCGCCAGTTCAGTGCGTGACTTGGGGTCAAACTTCGGTCAACACACACTTGATGTCAGCATCGCCGTGTAGCAAGTTTCGCAAAGTTCAATTGTGCCCCAAAATGATGTCGACGACAGTCAACTGTCGCAGCGCATGTTGTATCAAGTCCATGATGCACCCTGTTTCGACTTTGGCTTGCTTTTCCTTTTTAGTGCATGTTCTTGTTCACGTAAAATGTGACCTCTCACCAATGTATTAAAACCCTTTGAATTTATACTTATGCGTGATTATATTTGGTCTACGCGAAACATTAATCTTTCTAAACATTTTCTGAGACCATGCATGATATATATTCACAAAATAATGCGATCATATTTTATATTATGTTGATCTCTACGTCTTTCTGGATCGTTTTGTGATTTTATTCCAAGGCTCAGGCAAATAAAATAATGTCAACTATTATAGACAAATTGGTTTAATTTTTCATTGGAAATTTGTGATCCTTTTAATCTCCCGGTTCTTTGTGTTCATTAATGGTCTTGACAATAAGTGTGAATTGCTGTGCGAGCCTACCGCAGATGACCGCGGTCAGCCGACATCATAGAATCTAATGCATAAATTTGCATGAAATGCGGTCGACCGGCGAGCACCCACCACCACCGCGGTAATGACCGCGGTGCACCACCCGTTTGATTTCCTACTCTTCCCTTTAATAATCAAATCATAATGAAATGTGTGCATATGTAGTTCATCATTGTCATCATTGTCTGTATGCCAAGTTAGAACGAGATCGGTCAAAGGGTGTCCGTGAAATGGCTCCGAACAGACACACGGATGCACGGACGAAACCCAAATTAATAGTCCCTCGTTTTCGGACTTCGTCTGAACAGAGGCTAAAAACAACAACAAGTAAACTGTTTGGTGGACTATTAATTGTGTCCAGAGAATCAATCTTAGAAACACTTGAAAACAGGTTGTCTGTGTAAATTGTGTTACCTACACATCTGTCATATTCTAGTGGCATCTTACCCTCTCTTAGCGAGACTGTAGAAATGATTCCCTGATGTTCTGCTTACTTATGCATTGTTAAACAGAAATCTAGCATACATTCTTTGTTTTGGACTGCCATAGAGTCTGCAGCAATACTAGTGATATTTTTTGGGGTTCTGGACATGTCAAAATACCTAAAGTATACACATATTTTTGACCCAATCATGAAATCACAGCATATATATATATATATATATATATATTAGGCAATGAATAAAGTATGTGTTAGGTCTGAAGAGAATTGGTGAAGTATGTCTAATAGGAGAAATAGCAGAAATAGGAACTAACCATGAGGAGATTTGGTGACAGCATTTTGATGGCCAATATTTTGTTTGTTGACAAAATTACCATTACTGCACATTTGTGAGTGTGTGTGTGTGTGTTTTTTGAGGGGGGTCATCAAAAAATAATAAACCATGACAATGTATAAGCAGTTAGTTTATGGATTTCTGCTATTTTTAAACAAAGATGAGGTAATTATTTCGAAGTTCACATGAACAATAATATGCTAATGAAAATGCAATTGTTATACAAATCAGCTATGCCACTTCAATTACTAGAACTTGACCTACTTCAACTCAAGAGAGGGGTCTTTCTCACTATGGAGATAGAAACCCATCCAAATAATACTCAATATAGATGTTTACCTTGTGTATTTTCTTGGGAGGAGGTGGATGAGGAGACTGTGAATAATCAATGGCTTCAAAATCATCGACATGCATGGATGGTGGACGGCTTGTATTCTGTGCTCGTTGACGAAATAGATCATTTGGTCTACCATGACCTCCATAGAATGGTCTGTATCCACCTCTCATATGACCAGGCATTGCTAGATACAATGAAATCATTGCATTTAGTTAGAATGAGTACACTAGGTAAGCTATATTGTATAAAAGGTTTCATGGCTAACCCAGATTCATTAAATTACATTGTTTCAAGCCATTTGATAAACTGTATTTGATTTTGGTAGCCTTTATGTAAATGACAGAGGTGTATCTATGGTAATATTTCAATGATCCAGCATAAAATGCAATATACGGTGTTATTGCGCTTCCATTGATATTTCTAGGGTATGCATCAAGTATTGTCTTGTTTTACAAATATGTGGATTAGAACTCACCTTTATGTCCTCTTTTATTTTGTCCTTGAAATCTTGTGTCACGCCTGGCAATTAATGGATCAAATCGACGTTTTCCAACCCTACTGTAATCAAATGTAAGACACTGTCAAGGACAACACTCGATTAAATAACAAATCTAGAGATGGATAACAAACTAAAGATGCAGTATCTTTTCTTTGCATGGCAAAGGCAAGTATAAAAGTCCAAACATAACTCAAATTGCATAAAAGTTCCTAAAAAATAATAGTACAGCAACATATGTAAGCAAAATTTACTCGCCAATGCTCTTCTGAATTAATACTACATATAAATAAAATAACATACCACACTTCCCTGATGATAAACCCCTTCCCAAGTATAAGCCCACCCCTCTATTTTTAGAGTTAAGGGCATCCCCGATTATAAGCCCAGAGTGTTTTCTCAGGGCGTGGACGACACTCATTAAACTATGAGTGTAAAAATTGTGTTTCATTGCAAAATAACCGTAATTGGTAGAGTAGTTTGGTTCGTGCTTTCATGAGAAAACTCACATTAATTTCATAGGGCATAGCAAACGTACACAATATGGTTTGCATCCTTTCTATTCTGTTATTTACTCAGGATGAGTTGAGACCTCCTAGATTACTAGTAAATGAGACTGTATGACGTCATATCAGTTTGATGTGATACAAATACTTACATTGATAATAATTGTCTGAACGTTCAATTACTTATTATTTATCACTGCCTATAACTTACTAGCACATGTGTTTAGTGGATAGACAAATTAAACTGGTAAGTTATATTGATCCAATCAAAGCTTCCCATTCACAATTCTTAACGATTCTTTTTTTTAGGATAGGATTGATTCAGTTATTTGAGTGATCTGACTGTTAATAAATCTCAATCTAAAAGACCTTGGCTTTTTGTTTAATTAGATCATAATATTATTTTGCATTCTTGGGTGAGGTTGTGTGCTTGCAAAGCTAGAATTATGTAACAACATCACATGTCTTGTCAACACGTGTCCCTACATGTCTTGTCAACACGTGTCCCTACATGTCTTGTCAACAC